TTTCAAACTGGGATGGACATTCCAAATTTCAAAACATGGACATCATACTATTTCCAGCAAGTTAAAGTTTATAATTCTCTAAGAATTTTCTTTTCTGATTTTGAAGTCCTTCTAAGTGTAGAACTACTTAGGCAGCAACGCTTAAAGGAAGATAAACATTATGGTAACTGAATTCTTTCGAAAGTCGTAACTCACTGTTGAAGCCTTTTAATTATAAAAAAATCGAAACCGCTTAGAATCAACCTCATATTGCTGTTACGTAGCGAGCAGCAAATCAAGTGCAACAGCAACAAATTAATTCATTCCTTCAGTATTCTCTGCTCTGTGCTATAAACTGATGCAACTCTTAATACACAGAAAAGACAAAGGCAAAAAACAGTTTCAGACCCTTAGGACAAATGGCTCTGCCCAAAGGATTCAAGGAAACTGACAAGAGGCCCCAATACAGGAGCATTTAGTAAAACCACACAGAGATTTTGCATAGAAAACCTTTAGCCAAGCTTTTCAAGTTCTGATTAGGTGTTGCTCGAATATTTACCTGACTTTTCAGAAGCTTTTGCCTCTGTATGCTCCAAGTTAAGTAGCTCATCAAGAGCCAGTTTAGCTGCATCTAATTTAGATTCCTTCTTGTTTTTCCCCAGTCCAGTCTTGTAGCTAACACCATCTACCACAGCACAAAAGGCAAAATAAGGCCTTATGATATTGCCTTTAAAGGAGAAAAAAAAGCAGACACAATTAGTGAAATTACTTTAATCCATAGCTTTATGTGCTTATATTCATTCCAAAGACAAGTACAAGACAAAAAGACAATTTTAGCGTAATACAACTCGAACCTTTCACCTCCACAAGAACTTTGGCAGTTTTCACTTTATGCGCTTTGCACAAAGTCCTGGTAGCAGCCAGAATTTTATACAATTCATCTAATCAAGTTCTGTAGCAATTAATTACAAGACACAGCTGTCTAGACAATAAAAGGGCAGCCAAAAAGCAACATATGTAGAGGGTAGTGCAACCAACAGTAAAGAAACCTCATCTGTATTAGTGCCATCAGTACTAACTGCAGAAATTCAGACCACCTCAAGGACAAACAAGTATTATTTTATTTAAGAAAAGAAGTATTTACCTGCCACACTAGTTTCTTTCAATTCAAGTTGTACATGGTGCATTTGTGCAAACTGATGCAAGGCAGATACTGGGTTTATTACTCCCTGTTTATATCTTGCAATAAGTTCCTCCAGGGTTTTCTTTGGAGGAAAGGCTGATAATGGGGGCGCACGGGCCGCTTTCAAAAGTAAAGGTTTGGAAACAAAATTAAGAAAAGAACTGAACACACTCTCTGACAGCTTAAATCTGTTTACAATAAATGCTTTTTAAATGCTTTATAGAAGAACAAAAGGCAAAAACATTTACTCTCAAACAGTATTGCTTTGTATTGAATCCTACATTAACAATACCAGACATTCTGAAATGGTGTGTACCTCCTCTCTGAAAAGCATCAAAGCTCTTACTTTGAATATTAAATCCGTTAGCCTCTGAATATAGACAGACATTGCATGTAAACACAACATATATTCCCACTCCTTGCAAACCAGCGATCAAATGAAAGTTGCTGATGGCAGATTCAAAACAACGGAGCATGTGGTTTTTCATACAAAATTATGGTGCAGTAGAGCTCCCTGTCCGAAGACACTATGTAGTTCTAGCAACCACACACATTATTCAAAAAGCAGGTAACTCATTCAAAGACAAAGAAAAGAGCAAAAAGCAAAGAGCTGGTGAATACAGAGACAGCACCTCTGGCTGAGGTGGCCAGGACAGAACACTCACCCTGACCCTGCAGGTTTCCCCCACACCCACGATGAGCCACACTTGGAACCAGAACAGCGGGCAGGTGGGTGTTTCAGCTGCCCTAGCTGAGAGCCCTTACGCTCTTCAGAGGGCAACGTGAAGCAAGTTAGCCATGTTGTAAGAAACTTCCATAAATTCTGAGAAGCAGTCCCGAGGCAAACCCACCCTTCCAAGTTTCATTCAGAAGACAAACTCTTCCAAAGGAGCACACCATATCTGGACAGCTGTCTTTGACTTAGAGGTCTCCCATAGAATAACCAATTAACATTTCCTGCAGCATGTACTCCTGTGAAGGATCAGTGTGTTCTTTTAGCTTTAAAAGAAAAAAAGGAAATCTTTTTCCCTGTATCAATGCTAGGATGGATGGAATCTTCAGTTTCAAGGCTGCCATATACTCAGGCACAAGTATGTCCCAACAAAGACTTAAAATAAACTGTTATTGCCAAATCCCATAATTAGTTGCCTTTACCTCAATGCAACTATTCAGAGAGACAGAATTTAAAATACATTCTGGGACATCTGGAAGTACAGTTAAAACTTTTCTCAATGACCTCTACGTAAATTCACACATCAGTACATATCCTGTATTTTGGCAACCTCTACAGCACTTCTAATGTATAACTTGGAATTTATAATTATAAAACGCCGCAAACTATATAGCCCACCCTACAACAAACCTCTTACTCTGAGAAACTTCCAGTACAAATGGACGCAGAAGAAGTGGAACAAGTTCAAACAGATGCTAAAGAAGCCATTTAAAAAGAATACAGCGGTAACGAAGAGTAGCAGAGGGTTGCAACCTTCCAAAAATGAGAAAATGATTAAGTTATTTTCACTAGCGTTCACTGTGCATTTTCATATCTAACCCCAGTGTATAAACTGAAAACTGTACCTGGATTTTGCATCACCTTTGGTGCACTGCACCTCTCGGAAGGTGGAAGTTTTGGCCTTACCGCCTCAGACTGAGAAAGCTTCTCTGAAGGTGGCTGCCTCGGAGCCCCTGCTGGCAAAGTCTTCTTTTGTATGGGGTCAAGGGCGGGTATTCCAGCACTCGGAAACCAGCCATCGCTGCTACTCATTTTTGACCAACCTAAATTAACAGTAGAGATACGACGTGTTGCAAACTCCTGTTTGCACGTTTTTGCAAACATGCTGCAAACTCCAGTTTTCTTAGTCAAGCCATTTCACAAGAACACTATGAACAACTCGCACTCCCTACAGACTGGGGCACAAGAACCCAGACCCAGCGTCCTTTCAATCCCTCCCCTTCCCCAGGTTCAAAGCCACTTCTCCAGTTAGTTAACTGCCTTCCCCCACGCTTTAAACCACGACTCCAAGCGGCTCTGCACCTCCTTTTGCAACGAGCTCGAAGGACAGGGCAACCCCCCAGCCGGCTCCTGAGGTAAAAAAAAACCCAAACAAACAAACAAAAAAAAAGCAGCAAAGCTGATTTAAGTTTCTATGACGAGCTGCCGGAGTTAAAAGGCTTTGGTACGTTCTCTCCCGTGCTGTGAGGAAACCCACCGGTCGCGGAGTCGGCCGCCGCGGGCAGCTGGACGCGCCTGAGGTGAGAGGAGGGCCCCGCCCTGAGGGGACGGCTTCTACCGGCCCAGGAGCCCTCTCACCGCCGGGGACGCCTCCGCGCAGCCCCTCCGTTATGTGGAGCG